CTTGTCACCTGTTGACGTGTCGTTTCCCTCTCGTGTGACGACCCGATGCCCTGAAAACACATTCTGTTACATTGCTTTAGTTTTTCTTCAGATCACAACAGGCTGAACTATCTGGGACAAAATAACAAGAATCGATTCTAACAACGAATTATTCACCGATTCACAGGCAGTGAAAAAAWATTCTATCCCCCCGACAGACAACACGCCTTCTACAAACCAATCAGAGTCAAGTATAGGTAGACTCCGCCCACGTCATGTCATCCATCTATTTTTAGAAGAGCCTTGAGATACTGTGTGTTCTGATTTGGTGCTTTACAAGTAAAATTGAATTGAAAACTTGAATTTAAAATCCATCCTCTACCTTTTACCAAAACTATCCTAATGCTCTCGTTAATAGTAGCTACACTAAACAATGAATTATCGGGAGACATTTGTTTTCTCAGCTGCCGAAGCTTCAGACAATATTTCTGTATTAACATGATGTCATGTAAAACAAACAGGGACAGCGAGAATGCAGGTTAACAATTCCTTCACATGCTGAAAGTGGTTGACCGATCACAACAGAGGGTCTTAAAGAGACAGGAGCTAAAGGTGCTATAGAGACAGAGGCTGAAAGAGGAGCTGCAGCGATGGACAGTGTGAGGAAACTGATTCTGAACATTAGAGCATGAAAACATGTTACAGTCATAACCCGTAACTCATTAAAATGATCACAGTGAATAATAATGATTCATCTCCTTATTATGATGAATAAACTAGTGGGCAAGCTGCAGTGGCTCACCTGGCTACACGGACACCATGTTCCGAGTGTCAAATCTAGATAACCTGTCTTTGGACTGAAAGCCAGAGAGCCCAGAGACACAGGGAGATCATGCAAATCCCTCTAAGGCCCTGACAAAGTTCATGATTATTGATGGTAATTAGTCATTTTTAATGGGGTAAAGCAATGAGGGCAAAGAGTGTTGTCTCAGTATCACAGCAGCGTCTCAACACAATCATTTTGTAATCAAATATGTGCATTAGAAACCATTGGTTTGAAGAATCCTTGAGCCTTTCATGAAACATGTGTTCAGGCAGATTCCTCAGATTCCGCAGTGCAGCGATGTCAGGTCCGAGCTGCTCCCACTCTTCATCTCTCACCTCTGGAAAGTCCAAACATTTCACATTTAATCATCAGTTGGAACAAGTTGGATTTTGTGTTTCTTCAGATCTTGGACTTTTGTGCACACCCTGAGACTAATGTTTGTTGTGATACCGTGCTATATAAATACATTTGAATTGAATTGAACTCTAGGTGTTTCATGTGCTCATGCTTATTGACAGATCAAGCCACACCTATTGAAACTGCAGTGGATAATATTAACATAAGCTGATGTGCTGTAATAAACAAGGTGAATTAAATAGGGGACATCCATTGTTCAAATCAATAAGAATCACTTCTGTCAAACAGCCTGTAGGGGGAGCAGTTGGTCTGTACTCCGATCATCCAAACACCTCCTCAGTCCAGAGAAGACTGAGTTTGTCAAAATGAAACTTTTTTCTTACTGAATGGTTGAGTGAGGCTGAGGAGGCTGAAAAAGATCAGGAGGCTCAGTATCCACGATCTCTGCGTCGGAACTCCCATCGTGCTGCAAATTATTAGGCAAAGAAAAAGAATCAGGTTATGGGAGCAATGAGCCTTTCCTCTCAACTTCAGTCCAACAACATCTTTTCTGTCAAAGAGGAGGAAAAGTTTCAGGAGCTGATGATGCTCAGATTCTCCTCCATCATCAGTCAGTGTTCCAACGCCCTGACCCCAACACTGCTGCACCTTGTGTGTGCAACACGTGCCACTGACCTGGGACCAGTTATCTGAACACTTCACATATCACTGCTTCACTGACGTCAACACGTGTCGTCCCCATCAGATCGCACCAGGAGCCTCAGCTGGTCTCTCAGACAAGGATGATCTCTAAGAATGAACTCTCTCTCAATCTCAGCCAATCAGTCTCTACATTACAATCTAACATTAGTGTTGGACATATAGTTAATTTAACAACATTTAACAATAGTTCAATTTGAATGTAACATTTATATTTTACACTTCTATTGTTTCCCGTTCGACTGATTTGTCGGAATCACAGTCCATAGTTAACCTCTGACACCAGCATATAGAAAATGAAAACCACAGCCCTGCACAAAAATCTAAATCCTCTCTGAAAATGTTTTTCACTACTCGATTTAAATCTCATGTAATTCCAGAGGTGGAAGAAGAAACAAATAAGTTTGGGTTTCTGCTGTTATCTGACTTTCTCAGATGGGATTCTGGTTCTGTGCAGTTTTGCAGTTTTTTTGTCTCTTCAGTATCAGCAGATATTAAACTGGTGACTTTTCCTGCTCTTTGTGTCTCCGTCCACCTCAGAGGAGGGTCATGGATTATGGATTAATTTAGCTGTATTCCTCTTTATCTCCACTGTCTTTGAGGGCAGACACACAGAGCCAAACTTAAACAATTATAATAATGAATTTATATTTTATTATAAATTATATTTTAATAGGCAGAGGACACTGTGATGTGACTGTGTCCTGTCCTCTGGTGTGTCAGTAGAAAGAGTAGAATTCAGATTTCAAACTTTACCGAAGTCTCTTTAACTTCACGTCAAAAATGTCTCTGTCTATTTGAAGTAAATGACTTTAAAATGTCTCCAGGAGTCAAAAAAAAAACTGAATATCACTGTAAAATCCATCCTGTACCACTGATGGGGGTTTTAATCAGATGATCAATCCCTGATCATCTGATTAAAGCTTCACTGAAGGGTTGAGCTTTAAATGACACAAAAAGATGCTTTGTTGAGTAGAACTCACCCAGATGAGATTCTGTTCCTGTACCTCTCTGCCTCTTTCTGATAGAATCTCTCCTGCTCTCTGTCTGTGACCATCAGCTTCAGGATCTTTCAGGCAACTGACAAGAGACAAGTTAGCACACAGGATAAAAAAACATCTAGAGGAGTGCCCAGTTCTCCACAATTGTATTATTAGAAAGCAAAATCTGATTACCACAGACTGGAAGTATGATGTGTTGCAAAAGAGGTACAGGGTCTCACAAGCTGAGCTAATAAAATCATAATTCTGGTATATAGCATGCTGATTTTCATAAAACTACTGTAACTAATGAAAACAAATCATGAGTGCTTCAAGTAATTAACCAGAAGTTAATTATTAAAAGTAATGATTAATAAGATTAAATGGATGAGGTCAAATGAGTTCAAGGTATTGTTGTCTAGATTTCCTGTCACCCTGTGTGAGGGACGTGCTTCAGTGAGATTTCCCAACACTTCTGCTGATATGAAAGTGTCTTGTTCTGAATAAGAGGATCAGTTCTGTGGGAATGAGGAACTAACAGTGTGAAGCAGAATTAGTAACGCTAAAACCATGTGTGTATGTGAAAAGTACCATTGAGTGATCAGCAATGTTCAATTAAACACCTTTCTCTGAACCGAACCGACGTCTTCGTCCGCAGCTTCCCATGCAGTTGCATTCACTGGGCATTCAAAGCCTGCATGCAGAGACATGAGCTGACAGAAGGCCTCTTGGGCGGTGCTCATCCATTTATCCATAAAAAAGCTCAGGAGAAGGCTGAGTTTCCCCTCAGGTTCAAATCACTGCAGCAGTACGGACGCATCCGATCACTGATGTCTGATAACTGTTATCAGGAGGAACTCCCAGATTATGATAGTACGGTGAATGCTCTCTGTGAAGGGCTCAGAAACTTGTTGTAAAGATAAACCTTGACAGGGGAGGAGCCTATCCTCTCCACGTCTGCATCAACACTGGGAGTAAAGGAGGAAAGGTAAGTGGTTGGACCAGCAAGGCGTTTAGAGACACAAGATGTTGATGTCACTCGGGTCACAGGTTATAATGTTGTATTTGCCCCAAAGTACGTGGAACCCCCTGTTCTAACGTTGGCTTTGGGTCTGCTTTTAATTTCTGGTTTGTTCTGGCTGCTTGGTGGCAGTGACAAGAAATCCTACTTCTACAGTTAATGATTGTTTAGACTAGTGTGCTCAACAGGTTGTTCCTTTCCTGTTTCAACATGTCAGTTCTTCTGTGCACAGAGACGTGCTCTTCACAGTTCGGTGTGTTAGAACTTGACTGGTCTTCACCAAACCTGGATCTCAGCACAATCACAGTGGGAGGAACAGGCTTATCCAGCTTAATGCCCATAGAGAACACATCCAGTATAACCCAGGATGCATTGCATTAACTATTGATTGGCTGGTGCCTCAGCTGCTGCGTGAAGAGTTGAGTGTGAGCATCGTGACAAACAAGGCTGTTTGGTAACACATTACATTGCCTCTTTCAAAGTGAATGAGCAGCACTTCCAACCAAGCGAATGAGTCCTGCGTAACATAAGTGTGTTGTTGTGGTGTCCAAATACTTTTGGCAAACCTTATGTTTCTTGTTTCAGTCTTATAACCTCTGAAGGCTCCTCGTCAGTATCTATTAGAACTTGACGTCCAAATTTAGTAATAAAGCATCAAACACCTTCAGGGTCCCTGAAAGAGGCGATGGCCGCCTGTTCCTCCGGGATCACGACAACGTTCTCCGGCAGACTCCACCTCTCGTCAAAATACAGATCCAACATTTCTGGTAAAGAATGAAAACAGAATTTTTAATCACAGAGACAGAAAATGGTGAAACAGGATAAAGACAAAGCACAGTGCTGTTCAGAAAAAGCCTGAACATTAACAGCCGCTGCTTCATGGCTGAACGCTGTGCACACAGTTCTTCATGATTCCTGCTGCTCAGTTATAGTGAAACACAGAAGACACCAATGTGATCACATGACAGTCGAAATAATAAGTAGTTCAAGTCTAACTTGTGGTTTTAGACTCTCCACACTAATTTATACAACGCACAACAAACGTCTGCAACGCGCTCAGACAAAGTCTGTCCATGTGAGCAAACTCTGCTGATGAAGGTCACGTGATGTAGAAGAGAAATGAACAGAACAGCTTCACTCGATGTCTCATGGATTTTATTCACTTCAAATGATTTGATCTATTCAGACACATGAAATCAAACAGGTCAGAAACAACATGTGTTCTAACAGCAGAACTCAAACATTAGATCACTTCACATGTGACACCAGGTTCTGCTTCGTCTCTCGGTGGACGTGGAGTCGATGTGTCTTCTGTCCTCAGAGATGAACAGTAAAGTTTTAAAATCATCAGGCTTCAGCAGCAGCTTCGTCTTCACCTGCAGAGAAAATGTTAAAAGTGTGTCAGGATCTTCAAATGTGACTAATGACAAACACAATGTGCTAAATGTGACACCAGGGGGTGCTAAGTCCAACGGGTTTAAAGGAAAAAGGACGTATATATTTCTATTTTTCTTCTTGGACCTGAAATCTTGGACTTGGACTTGAGGCCAAAACATCTTAGACACAGACGACGATCAAGATCAATCCTGATTCAGTCTCAGCTGTCAATCATCAGGTCTCCGCCCGTTTTTATATCATCAAATAACAGATTAAACCAAACTGATGAGAAACACTTGAACAAACATCAGAGAGAAGAACGAGCTGAAACGACAGAAACATCTTTGACAAACATTTATTTAACGTCTACTTTGAATTTTTAACATGGAGGAGGCGGGGTTTGGGACCTGTACTACAGTCAGCCACCGGGGGGCGCGGTCCTGTTGTCCACTTTTATGTACAGTGTGTGTTTATGTGGTGAGCGTGTGTTTATACGTACAGTCAGGTTTGGGAGGAGGTGGAGGAGGAGGTGGAGGGGGGGGCGTGGCGCAAGTATAGGACACCTCCAGGTACCGGGTCTGCTCCTCACAGTCGTATTCACCAAACACTCGCTCAGTGACGGGGACCTCACACGACCTCCGGTTCCCGCAGCTGCAGATCCAAACACACATCAGAACCAGAAGAGGTGAGAGGAGCCGCTGGTTCTGGTTCCTGTTGATTAAAGTTCTTAAAACCTCGTGAAAACACTCTGTATTCTGTAATGATGGTTCTTACAGATCCTCCACCACCATCTCAGACCAGGGGAAGGAGCAGAAGGTGTCGGGCCCGTCGTCAGGATGCTGTTTTCCCTCCCCGCACCTCGTCCCCACGCCGACCTTGTACAGGATGTGTTCCAGTTTGATCTTACTGCCGACGTCTGAAGCAGAGAGAAGTCACTACGCTCAAACACTCTTTTATCCGACACTGACTTTGTCCCACACAGAGTTCTACAGAGTCAAATCAAATAAATCATCACACGAGATCATTGTGCCTTTTGCTTTGTCTCCACTTTTGAAAAGAAGCAAAAAGAACATTATATATATATATACATTTTATTTTAAATCATATTTTATATAATTTAGTGTTGCAATACTCATTCTGACCACAAGAGGCTAAAGTGATCCGAAACTTTAATATATGGCAGAAAAGTTTTAAAATACAGAATTAAACTAAAGTCAGATAAGTCAAAACGTCTCCTCGTTGAAATTCTAGACTCATTGATCCACCTGCTCATTTTATTATATCATATTAGATTCTTTAATATTTTATTATATTTATATTATATTTTATTTTATTTTTTATACTATATTATATTTTTACAGGTTTCTGTAAGTTTCTTACCACATGAAATCTCAGCTGTGTCATTGTGACAGGCGTAGATCACCTCTCCCTCTGTTCAAACACACAGATCACAAGAAATGACTTCATCATCATCATCATCTTCATCATCATCATCACCATCAACTTCATCATCATCATCACCATCATCTTCTTCATCATCACCATCATCATCATCACCATCATCTTCTTCATCATCTCCTCACTTACCAGCAGCACCAGTGAGATACCAAGCTGCAGCCAGCACTGCAAACACAACACGGCTTCATGTTATTAAAACCATCAACACAATGAAGACAAAATAGAATCTTCTCTTTTTAAAAAAGAGGAAGTTATTTCTCAGAAAACCTCACAATCCGTTGGCTCAGTTCATCTTCAGCTCCACATACAAAAAACACACTTCCACACGTCATCAAGTCTCGATCACACACACGAAGCTGCTTTGATCACTGACTCTGCGGCTTCTTATTCTTTGTTTACATTCATTTCATAGTTGGTTTGATCCTTTGGAGCGTTTCTACACAACTGTTTTGTTTCCTGCTATTTCACACGTTGACTGACATTTATCATTCTATTGAAGTAAACCAGCTATTATTTTAAAGAGTCAGAAAAAGATGGAGGCCAAATATAAAAATCTATAAAGGAACAAGTTCAAGCTCCAGCATCAAAGTAAAGAGTGAAAACTTCATCAGCTTTGTTCATGAATCTGTTTTCTCTTTGTTTTTCATGCAGTTCTGTCGTTACACAAGCTGGAATCCTCGGCTGCTTGAGGAGCAGTAAATGCACCGTATACTAAAACTACCACCATGAGCTGCAGGCTCATGTTTGACTGAATCTGAGCAGATACTCACGGCCGAAGGCGACCAGCCTCAGTGGGACCATGTCTCAGCCTCCTCTTCTGTCCTCCACCTGCAGACAGTTTGAAAGTGACAGTGGACGTCCAGGTATTTATGTGTCCGTCCTCTCAGCAGACATGCAGACGCTTGTCTCCACCCCCCACCCTCCCCGGCCGCAGGCATGTGGGGGCCTCCTGCCCCAGATGTGGCGAACATGTAAAACTGTGCAGAGCTGCAGGAGACACTTCTGTAAAGCCACAGGTTCCAGGACCTTTAACACTTTGAATCCCAGCTGCTCCTCGTTCGCCTGCATATTCCTCATTAAGAGGCTCAGAAGTTAAAAGGAGAACATCTGGTGTGGAGGGGGGGGGGGGGTCTTACAAAATGTGCAGGTAATGAAGAATCTGTGGCTTCATGTGTCCCTCACAACATCAGGGTATGAAGAGACTTTCATCTTTGTGACAGTGAAACCTGGAGACATGCTGGAAAACAGACGAGCAGAGGTTTGTAAACGTCTTCTTCTACCTCAGACTTCACCATCAGGGCACTTCACATCCTTCCAGTGGATTTTTCATGTATTTGTACTTTACAATTCCACCTGAACAGACAATAAGAGACAAAAGAAGATTCCTTGTTGTGTGTCATCAAACACAACAGATGTAATGACGTGAAAGACGAATCAAGACGAATCAGACGAGAGAGTGAACCACAGAGACGAGGACAATATGTGATGAGGACAAACAAGATGGAGGAAAGTGAAGAATCAGACAAGATGATGCTTCAGAACCTTCTCAAGTTGGTCTTGAGGAAGAACCTTCATTCAACAGTTCATCCTCCTGGAACATTTCTCATGCTCACACATCTGTTCTGACTTTCACCTGTTTTTATCTGATTTTTATTTGACTTGAAGTCAGACTGAAGTTTCAGTGAAATAATCTTTGAACCACATTAATGTGACGTGAGTCTCAGATACAGTCGATAGAAACGTTGACATTTCAGATCCTGAACCTTTAAACCTTTACTGCAGATGATAGTGAATCAGTACTTGTACTTTAACTGGAGTACAGAGGTTGAATCGGTACTTGTACTTTTACTTGAATCGTGTGTACTTTTGAAGCCACAGTGGATTGTTTCCTTTGGGATTCATCAGTTCACTGGTTGATTTATTAAATAGTGAGAAACTGCTGAGCAAAATGTATTTAACACCAAAGTACGTGTTCATATGTGGAGCTCACATCGCACTCAATCCTCCTGCTGAGCCTCTGACAGCTCAGGAGCCACAAACACCACAAACTATGAAAATGTCCCAACATGCATCAGCAGCGTGGCGGAGGAGACCAGGTGTTGGCTCCAGGTCATAAATACCAGAGTCGCCCGCAGGAGGTCAGAACACAGGAGGCTCAGCACAACTTTACAGATTTTACTGGACGGAGCTCCGACTGAAGAACGAGACTTGGATAAATAAAGTGGTTTTACTGTCTCTCTGGTCCAGGTCTCTGCTGACGGTCCAAACTTAACCCCTGAACCTCCGAGCTGTGGTCCCCATGAGGACGGCACACACACACACACACACACACACACACAATGATCCAGGGGGACATCAAGGAAATCTTTGAGGAAAGACTGATACAAATGGATTTACAACCCAAGCTAATATTTGCACATAAATGACCTAAACACAACGTTCACATAATTCCAATGACACAAACTTAAGCGTTTATAAAAAATAACTTCATGGACAATCCTGTGTCACGGATCATCTCTGCTGATGAAGACAAACTTTGTCCTGCTGCTTCAGGGACAGATTGAAGCACGTCCACAGTGAATTATGAAAGAAGAGAGTTTATCTCAGGATCAAACTCCAGGTTTTCTCCTGACTCTGCTTTTCTCTGCGAGTCACAGTGGATTCTGTTGCTTCCTCTGAGAATCTGAAGGTGAACAAACAAATCCAGGTGATCAGCATCCACCAAAAACATGTGAGAACAAATAACTTGATGACCAGAATAATATATATATATATAATAACAGCTGATTTCACAATGTAACTTTACTGCAGCTGGTCTCAGATCAGAAGCTGCTGAGCTTGATTGACGACAGCAACAAAAACGAGTTTTTGTGATATTTTTATTTTCTTTTTGTCTAAAGTGCAAAGTTTGATTTTACTCTTGTGAACAACATTAGAGTTTTAACAGGTTATGAAAATGTCTAATTGTTATATCTTCATGATCTACAACAGCAAATGAGGCGATCGGGGGGAGATTGGGCTTTTTCTATAAACTATTCTCGATGTCTGTGGTCGGATCACCCGCGAGGTCAGAGCATCGATCAACATCAGTCAGGCTGGAAAAAGTGAGTTTCTGGCAAGAACTGATGCCACATGTAGTAACAGCCTGAATGATCCAAAACATGTCTCCTGTGTTGCATGAAGGTTAATTCACCAGAGTGGAGATGGACTCAGTCACAGATCCAATCAGTCGTTGTGACTTGTTGATGAGCTGCTGCTCTTATTAATATTTTAATACGTTTATTCATATTGAACGTTTTGTGTAAAACGCATCAACTTCAACACTGCACTGAACATTTTCACATATAAAATACTAAGATCTTTATTACAGTAATTGAATAGGAACAAATTAAACTGACCTGTTCACTCCGGTAGATTTAAGTTTGCTGCAGAACTGAGTCAAAGGCTGATGGTTGAGATTCCTCTTGAGCTCTTCTTCCCTCCCACATTCTTTAACCAGCTCTACTTTCCTCTTCTATTGTCTTGGATCTGTGGCGTAACAAGATCCACCCAACTAAACCTCAAGACCAGACAGCAGAAACCGAATCAGAGCAACAGATTGTTGAACAGTTGGACATCAGGTGTGAGGTCCCTGTCCTCAGGTGTGAGGTCCCTGTCCTCAGGTGTGAGGTCCTCGTCCTCAGGTGTGAGGTCCCTGTCCTCAGGTGTGAGGTCCTCGTCCTCAGGTGTGAGGTCCTCGTCCTCAGGTGTGAGGTCCTCGTCCTCAGGTGAGTGATCTGATTCAATTTGAAACTATCTGAGCTGAAACTGCCTTGTTCTGTCCCTCATTTCAATAACTGACAGAAACTCGATGAAAGACATGTTTATATCACTATTTCGATGAATCGGTTGTTCATGAAATAACCTGATTCGTACATGAGTCTGTCTGAAGTTGTTACCGTGGCTTTTTTAATTGCACTGGATAAACCAGTTAGAGGAGTCAATCAAAGTTAGAGTCATGTCATTTAGCTGAAGCTTTAAGCCAAAGTGTGATCTAAAAAAAAAAGCTTTTTAAATATTATAACATTATAAATACTAAACATTGTTTATTCCTAAAAAGAAAGAAAATGGAAGATTGATTTGAGTCACTGACGTAGAAATGGAGTTTTGAATTGTTTCTAGTTATTGCTCATTAAAGGATTCACTTTTATTCCAGGATTAAGATTAAGATCATGGCAGATCATTTTTCTGCCTCTTCTTCATGATCCAATCAACAAACTCAGCTTTTTAAAAACGTTTTACTCTTTGTAGGAATCAGGATGAGTGTTGACCCTTGAGACAGAGCCCCAGCAGGGCGGGTCGAGTGAGAGTCACTCCACGATTTCACACGTATACTCTTCAAACTGCCACCGATGTAAACCTGATGCATGTTCGCTTACAGCTGTAGAACTGTATGCACATCAGAACAATGAGTGATACTAATGTCAGTGATGTCCACAGCTGATCCTCTTCAATATCTCTGTGGGTTTCCAGCTCACTGACAGCATGACTACAGCATCAGGTGAGTCACTGTGTGAGAACTGATGAAGTATTAATATTAACTAGAACATCTCTCCTGCCGAGACATTTTGAGTGGGTGCCTTGTGCTCGTTGACGCCGCTCGCACAGAGAGACATTTCCTTTAAGAGGAAGGACAGAGAAGAGAGAAAGACATGTATAAAGCTGCATTTTGATGTCAACATGGGGACGGTACCAATTTCAGAGAGAGAGAGAAACCATGTTGTAAGGTCTCATCAACATCCATGGGATTTCATCCATGGGGGGGGGCTTATTTTTACTTTTATTTAAATTTTCCAAAATTGATCAAAAACCACCACCCTCACCCGGTCTTGAACCCAGACTCACGTCACATGATGCAAGTGCCTTAACCACTGGGCCAAAGCAGAGCGTGGTGAAAACTTTGAGTTTAGTAAATTTATAGAGGAGACTTTCCCTCTGACAGTCTATGGGGTTGCTATGGTTACTCACTGATTAGATGAGGAACACCTGATGTCACATCACTTTGGAGACTCAAACTGGTTTCAGACCAGCCCTCAAACAAAAGCTTCTAACTCVAAATCTATAAGTCGTATCTGAGAAATGAAAACACTGTGAGAATCACAAGACTTCCCCGAACAGATCTGTTTTTATTGGTGAGAGTTCAGAAATGAGGCCGTGGGAGCGAGTTAGAAATATGTTTCTGTTTTTCTCACATCAGACTTTTTTTCCCAAAATGAACATGGGAGTCAATGGAGAGGTGAGACCGGAAAAGATTTCTCGGTAAATTGACTCAGCCCTGCCCTCTCGCTCTTTAGGGCGAGAGACCTTGAGTCGGTTTTGGCCGCGTTTTCGCGATTTTTGAGCGAATGATTGGACGAAATTCTTAGAAAAACGGAGGCAGGCACCCATAATAATAAGCTCCGCCCCCAGCTGGCAAGGCACCCATAATAATAAGGCACCCATAATAATAAGCTCCGCCCCCAGCTGGCAAGGCACCCATAATAAGAGAGCTAATGTACTGAAGTGAGTATTGAACAGAAACCAACAGTGCAACAATAACAGTATAAACCAGACGTCAAACAGAGCGATCGTTTAAATGTTGTTTGACAAATTGAAAAGTAAATCACACTATATTAAATATATATTAAACATACAACTGAAAACGTCTTTATTCAAAACCTTCTGTGACACGTGCATGTTTCTCTTCGTTATTAAACACACAACCTTTGTAACATTTGCAGATGCAATGAATCACTTACGTATTTGTCTTTATTCTTGAAGTGAGCGATGGTGATCGGCCTCGACGCCGCCGCAGCCGCAGCATTTTCCTGCCACCTGATCGTGAGTTGAACAGAAATCAGAGGAAATGAAAACAATCTGTAAACGTCCAATCAGACAAAACTGGGTGTTTTACATTGCAATGAATTTCATGATGTCATTAAAATCTTAATGAGCTAAATATCTGAAATCCAACTGTGAATAAGCTGAAGATCATGTGTCTAATATTTACTTCACACTTCATATGTCATGATGACATCACTCATAATTTCAGCTCGACAGTCCGAGTCTTTCTGACTTCATGATGTCACTTCATCTCTATTGACCATCACAGGAAAGTCAGATCATGTAAAGTTTCTATTTTGTTTTTCTCTTGAGTGTCTGAGCTGAGGGTTGTTCTTCTGGGGAACAGCCAGTCTGAGAGGAGTTCAGTGGGAAACTTCATACTGGCAGCGCCTGTGTTCAACACTCAGGGCGAATCAGACGGTTGTGAGAAAGTCACTGGAAAAATTAATGAGACGAGAATTTGTCTCATCAACACCCCAGATCTGCTTCATCCCCAAATATCTGACAGGAAACTACGAAAACAAGTAGGACACTGTATGAGACTCGCTTCTCCTGGACCTCACGTGTTCCTGCTGGTTCTCCAGTCAGAAGACTTCACTGAGGAACACAACGTGCGGCTCTGCAGAGTCCTGAAGCTCTTCAGTGATCGATCATTTGATCATTCGCTGGTTGTGATATCATCCACAGAGGAGAGCTCAGGTTCAATGCACCAGTCGATGAACAACATCCTCAGAATGTGCAAATACAATTACATAAAGCTGCATCAGCTGAATCACGCAGAGCTGCTGTACCACTTGGGCCAGATCACAGTGAGGAGCAATGGAGCACATGTTTGCTGTGAAGCAAGTGAGGACTCAACATCTGCTGCACCAGATGTTCACACACCAACACAACAGGAAACCAAGACTCCCTCCGCTGGTGAGTGAAACCTGTCAGAACTCAATTCAAACATCGAGCTGCTACTTAATGATGGAACATTGTGCGTGTGGTCAAAGCTGCAGCAGGAAACAAATATGACATGAAACTGTCACTATGCTCTGACAGCAGGAGGCAGGTCATCTTGTTCCTCTGGCTCCACCTACAGCTCGTGCACCTCCATCCCCTTCACACCCGCCTGTCCTCCATCGTGCAAACTGTCACTTTCAATCAATAATAATAATCAGTCTAATTATTATACCACAGCTTGGTTGAATTTTCTTGTTGTGACGTGTTCTTAAAAACTCAAAGTCCACTGTAAACAAATATATAAACATATGTTAATTATTGTAGTGAATAATGACAAGTTTAGAGAAATATCATTTTATCTTAATCAATTTCATGTAAGTATCATGTTCCGTGTTCACTTGGAGGAAATACTGCAAAAGTTCATATTAAACATTTGGATAAGTCACCACCTCAACCTGCACACGTGCTGAGCACACGTTAAACCCCGAACTCTGAATCATAGAACGACACAGAGAGCAGTGATTCCAGCCTCAGCTGAGTCTGAACACATTATTCATGTGACCATCAAGATGATTTAATCCTTGTTTGTGTTCTGTTACAGCATCGGAGCTAAAGATTGTTCTTTTGGGGAAAAGTGAATATGAAAAGACAAAGTTGGCAAACTTCATCATCAGGGACCAAGTTTTCACTTCAGCTCACAGTCGGTGTGTAGCCGCCTGCGGAGAGTGGAGAGGAAAACCATTCACAGTGGTGAAAACTCCAGACATGTCTGGAGAGACAGTGAGAAGAGAGGTGAGGACTCTGTGTCCTACTGCACCTACTGTCCTGCTGCTGATGGTCAATGCTGGTTTCAATGAGGAGGACAGAGAAACACTGATGTCCATCCTCCCTTTGTTTGGTCAAGATGCTGTTAAATACTCGATGGTCATAATAAACCATGACTACAACACATTGACTGTCCCTCTGGTTGAGCTCCTCAGAGCCTGTAGAGGGAGACACTACTGTGTGAAGGATGAGGACCAGGGGGAGTTAATGAAGAAGGTTGAGAACATTGTGCATGAAAACAAAGAATCCGTCCTCGGTGTGAGACCATCATTGAACATGGTTCTGTGTGGGAGCAGAGGAGCAGGGTTGACCTCAGCAGCTGAGGACTTTTTGGGTCAGACTGAGGTTGGGTCCTCATCAGAGTGTGGACATCAGGTGTCTCTGGTGCAGCTTCCTGCTCTGTATGGAAAACGTCTGGAGGCCTCGATGAAGGCATCATTCAGGTGTGTCTCCCTCTGTGATCCTGAGGGCGTCCACGCCTTCGTCCTGGTCTTACCTGTGGGTCCTCTCACGGATGAAGACAAGGGAGAGATCGAGACCATCCAGAGAGTGTTCAGCTCTTGTGTCAATGACTTCACTTTGATTCTGTTCACGGTGGATTCAGATCCTACTGATCCAGCTGTTGTTGACTTTCTAAAGAAAACCAAGGACATCCAGGAGCTCCGTCAGCGCTGTGGAGAAAGATGTGTTGTGGTCAACATGAAGGACAAGCAGCAGATCACTGAGGTGTTGGACACTGTGGAAAAGATGAAACACAATAAGCACAAACCATCCAGCTACACAACAGAAACATTCACACAGGCCCAAACATCAACGATTGTCAACCTACAGGCTGAACTTCGGATGCTTAAAGGCAAAAGACAGAACATCTGTAAGTCCTGACATTTTCTTTCCACTTTATACTATGGACAAGCCAACCGATATAAATCCTGTGTTACGCTCTAGTCTTTTTGACTCTTTATTAAACTCACCATTTCTTCATGTTGCAGGTGATGAAGACACACAGAGACCAGAGTGTCTCAGGATTGTGCTGATAGGGAAGACTGGCTGTGGAAAGAGCTCCTCTGGAAACACCATTCTGGGAAGACAGGAGTTTAAATCCGAACTCAGTCAAATGTCGGTCACCAAACGTTGTAAGAAAGCACAGAGTAAAGTGGACGGTCGTCCTGTGGTGGTGGTCGACACTCCGGGACTGTTTGACACTTCTTTGTCCCATGAAGAGGTTTATGAGGAGCTGTTGGAATGTGTCAGTCTTCTGGCTCCAGGACCTCACGTGTTCCTGCTGGTGATACAAATTGATAGATTCACAGAAGAAGAGAAGAAGACGTTGAAACTCATCAAGAAAGGCTTTGGGAAGAGTTTTGAAAAGTTCACCATCGTTCTTTTAACTGGAGGAGACAAACTGGAGAAAGAACAGCAGTCCATCGAAGACTTCATTGAAAAGAAAAGTGACGTTTTCTTTCAGAGGCTGATTTCTGACTGTGGAGGACGATACCATGTGTTTAATAACTATGATCAACACAACCACACACAGGTCCGTGAGCTGATAGGCAAGATCTGCATCATGGTGAAGGAAAATGGAGGCAGCTGCTTCACTAATGAGATGCTGCAAGAGAGCAACGCAGCACTGCAGAAAGAAATGGAAAGAATCATGAAGGAGAACCAAGAGATGAGGAGAGAGATGGAGGAACTAGAAAGAAAACATGAAGAAGAAATACGAGTGATGAAAAACAGAATGGAAAAACAAAGAGAGGAAAGTGAATTGGAGAGAAAACTAAGTGAGAAACAGCTGAAGGAGAAGGAGGAAAACATCAAGGAGCTTGAAGACAGAATGAAAGAACAAGGGAAGAGAGATGAAGACAGGAAGAGGAAAGAGCTGGAAGAGATGCAGCGACAGGAGTGGGAAGAAAAACTGGAAGCTTTGGAGAAACAAATCAAATCCACAGAAACAATTGATAAAGAGTTGGTGCAGAGTAGAGAAGAGTTGAGGAAAGAACGAGAGATCTGGGAAAAGGAGAGAAAAGACTGGTGGGAGAAAAGAAATTGGGAAGTTTTGGAAAGTCAACACGAGGAGAAAATTAAACTTACAAAGCTCCAAGAAGAATTTGAACTGGAGAAAGAAAAATATGAAAAGAAACGAAGAGAAGATCGCCTCAGAATAGAACAAGAGGAGAATGAGAGAAAAGAAGTGGAGGAAAAATACAAGAAACAACTGGAAGAAATAAAGAAAAAACATGAAGAGGAGGCGAGAACACAAGCTGAAGAACTCAACAAGTTCAAATATAAATACGATGAAGAACTTGAAGCTCTGAAGCTGCAGCATGAGAAAGAACGGAAAGTGACAGAACAGAAACACAGCAACGAGTACAAGGTGTTACAGAACCTGTCGAGGCACAAAGAAAAAGAACTGAAAGAAGAGATGAAAAGAAAAGAGAAAGAACAACAGGATCAGATAAGGATGGAAAGAAAACACATGAAAGAACTGGAAGACTTGAAGCGAGAGCATGAAGACGAATTAAAAAATCTGAAAAAGAAATACAGAAAAAAATGCAAAATCTCGTGATGATGCAGGAACTGAGCATCAGTGAATCATTGATGAACAGATGTGAGAGTCACGACTATTTTCTATTCATCTATTACTTCAAAAACATTCAAACTGTATTTCCACTGGATCAAAATCCCTTTTGTATCAGAGCTGAGACTCCTCAGGTCGGTGAGCTGAGAGATTAGATCATATGAACACAAGTGAGAAGGCCGGCAACACTGACGCTAACACAGGAGAGAACACAGTCAGTGTGTGTGGAGCTGGAGGAGAAGGTGATATTCTGATGATGGAGACAGAGGAGCAGTGAATTACTGACGGAGCATTCTGTAAAAATGACCATGACCCATGAACACTGTGAGCAGATTCCCTGATCACTATAACCACACGATTCCCGCAGCACAGGAGCGACTCTGTGTGAAGCTGCTGATCCCTGACAACTGTCGGGAAACACAAATGACAAATAAAGATGAAAACTGGACCTCGATGTCGGACATTTCTGAAAAACATGAGCAAATGTCAAAGCTTTCAACCCTGAGCTTTTAGAGGAGCTGAGGTTAGAGGTCGTCTGAAGTGTGGAGGTTCTCCACAAGATGGCGTCTGCTCCGCATAGAGAAAAGTGAAAACCACAGTTGATGTTTCCACATATAGATTGTGTAACATGTGTTACTCACTGAGTTCAGGCTGTTTCCTGTGACTGATGTTAGAGTTCATTCATTCACTGATTCTAATGTTTTGGTCAACTCTGTGTGTGAAGACTCAGAAACTTCTTAATGAAATAAAGTCAAGGTGCGATGTTTCTTCTTAAAACTCACTTGTGACTCGAACTCTTCACACTCACCTGTTTTCTTATCCAGGGTTTGTTCTCATGTTAGAACAGAATCTAGTCTGGAGACAAGTCTGACGTGTGCAAACTAATCAGGTTTCTTTAACCAGTGTTAGAGTCGAAGTGTGATTTGAAGTCAGTCAGTTTTACACACTGGTTGTGTTGAATGTGTTGAATGTGTTGAATGTGTTGAATGTGTCACTGGTTCCAGAGTTGAGTTAAAACGATCTGTGTAATTGCAGCCTGTGAATTTGGACTTTCTGAGTCTGAGGTGGGAAACATCCAGGAGAGCTCACGGTGGTCAGAGCACCGAGCCCGACCGGAACCTGGTCTGAACCCGGAGCAGTTCAAGCTCTTTGTGTTTCTCTGTCTCCGACACAATTGGTTAATGTTTTCCTCGTTTACAAACAGAAATCAGACCAGAAAACCAAAACTCACAGAACTGTGTATACACACACACACACACACACACTCTCACACACACACACACACACACACACACACACTCTCACACACACACACTCTCACACACACACACTGCTCTTTTCATGTGCTCAGACCGGTGTATTATTGAGATTCCGTTCATTTATTCCTGGCTTCTTAAATAATAATTAGTGACAGTGATAATCAGTTGTAATCGTTGTAATTAGATGTGATAACCCCGACGGGCAGCGTCCTACCTGGAGCTGGAGTCTGGAGGTTCTCCACAGTTCTCCACAGTTCTCCACAGTTCTCCACACATGGTGAGGACATGAGAACAAACATCCAGGAGAACGACGGGACGACAAACTGCTGAAAAGAGAGCGAGACATTAGAAACTGTGACAGTGAGTAAGATCCTCTGCTCAGGTGATCAGAATCAACTGTCGGAATCATAAAAGCTTTTAGAACGTTTGTCCACTTTTCTACATTCACATGAAACATTCAAGTCTCTGTCACCAACTCCTTCACACTGAACCTGCAACTTCATCATCGGAGATTCAAGTTTTTGTGTTTCTGTGTCATGTCAAAATGGCCGCCGGGAAAAGGGTATGTTAGGGACAAAATAGAGAATAATAATATAAATTACAGTTTTATAAATGAAATTATAAAATGATATATAAAAATGAATTTAAATTGCATCACTTCCTGTTTTCCTGCTGCTGGTGGGGTCGTCCTCTCTGAACTAGCTCCTCTGCTTCTCTATGTTACACGTCGCTGCTCTCTGAAGGAATGAGAGGTTTCTCATGATGAAGGGATTTAAAGTTTTCTCTCCTGTTACATGATGAGGAGAGAAGGTGTGCTCTCGTGTTCTGCCTGCAGGCGGCGCTGCAGGATTCAAGACTCTACATGAACACTGAAAGGTTTTATCTCAATGTTAAATTTACCAACAACTCTCTGAGGCTGTAGATGAACATTTCACAGTTTTAGACATTTTATTGAATTCATGTTGAATTTCTTTCCCTGCAGTCGACTGATGATGAGACTCAAACATGTTCCTCACTCTCAAACATTTCTCTTTTATCCCTGACGATGTTTTACTTCATGATTTATTCACACGTTCAGATTGAAATCCAATAAAAAACCTCGGAACACGAAGTTTCACTGGATTCATCTTCAAACATGAACTCAGACCTTGTTTCTCTCGTCTTGATTCTAGATTTGAGTGTTTGTTATGGTCTGTTGTTGTGATGATGTCATTTATCATGTGTAAAATATCTCTGATTATTTAACGTTTGTGTCTTTAATGTGTCTACGGTACATTTTGTTCATATTTGTGTTATAATCAACTCAGTTAAAGAAGAAGATGTTAAGTCTTGTTTAAAAACAACAGTTTTGTAATATTAAATATCTAAAACGATAGAAAGTGACCTGCAGAGTAACGTGATCTATTTAGAAACGCAGGTTTGATTTATTTAATCTTTTCTGGAACATCTGAAAACGAGGCTCTGGGTTCTTGACAGAAACTTTCTGAACTGATCCTTTAGTTTCAGCTCATTTAAACTGAAACCTGTTTCCTGTCGGTCAGTCAAAGTGTCGTCATCCTCTCTCACTGATTCTGCATCAGCACAAGAACCAAACCAACTGATGAAGACGACTGTGATGAATCTTCTTCTTGCTGCAGATTTCAAATCCACAAACACACACGACATTTAAATCGTACTTTTCTCTGTTTGTCTGTCTCTGTTTTAAATCACTGTGGAAATATTTGAAGGCTGTTTTCTTTATTTGAGTTCGTCAGGTTTGTACTGAGGGTTTGTTCATGACTCATTCACAGTTTGATTTATAAAACATTATTTTATCTATTAGACACGTGGATGTTTCAAGGATATTGACAGGATGTGGTGATTTGTGGAGCCATAAAAACAGATGAAAGATCTCCTCAACAAGTCGACATCCTGAAACATGAAGTTTGAACCTGGTTTGATGAGATTATTTCTCATTTATAATTTAAGGATTCAAAACTTACTGTCAGTAGCTAAATGGAGAAGTTTCCTGTTTGATCAGACTGTGACCTCCGCCCACAGAAGGTTTCTCCTGCATTCGCACCTTTTTTGGTCTTTTGTGTCGCCTCATGTCAAATCAGTTTGTGTGGAAATTGTGGTTTGTTACCAGACTGACTGCCTGACGCCCCCGGCTGCACGAACAGGCCTCAACCAGCTGGAGAATGTGGACAATGTCGCCTGAGGCCGACTGCAGGGCGACGATCTCAGATGTGAAGCAGACGGTCGCTTCCCTGCACGACAGCAACACGACAACAACACGACAGCAACACGACAACAACACGACAACAACACGACAGCAACACGACAACAACACGACAACACGACAGCAACACGACAACAACACGACAACAACACGACACTGCTGCAACAAACAAACACAACATCTTCTTACACGAGATGAAGCTGTTTGGAAACACGACAGGAGGAGTGTTGAGAAGAACATTAAGTCTAGTACAGTTTTAAAATGTGCTCAAGTCGAAGTGTTGACATGCAGAAAAGATCAGAGTGTCATCATGTTGAATTTAAATGTTTTACTTTCACTGATGCATGTTCAGGTTGTGAAGCTGAGTCTTTATCACGCGTTATATTAAAATGATATCCAGAAGACTGATGTTTACTGTTACATAAGATAGCTGCTGCGTGATGTCATCGACTGGTAGAAGCCAGCAGAGCCTCCACATCAGAGGTTCTGATTGGTTCCTGACTGGATCACATTCTATCTGCAGGTGTGTCGTTGTCTAAACGTGGTGGTATAAAAGAAGCTCGGAGGAATCTAACTCTCGCCCTCCTGCAGCAGGGGCGTCACCTCAGTGAGCTACAGGTGCTGTTATCTCCATACAAGGACACACAGAATCACACAGGTGCCTCAGGTACCGCCCCCTCGTCCTGACATCCTGCGGTATGATTGGCCAAAAGCCACGTGAGAAGTAAAAGTTTGGAGCTTCTGGTTTGTTGCCCTGGAGCGAAGGCCGAGCGTCGGCGTGGCTTTATCTGGACGATCCAACATGTCTGAGCAGGTTCAGGATGTTGACACAGTAACAGGAAGACGATTCAGCACGAAGCTGCGGAACAGTCGTTTGACTACGAAGCAGCGGAGACACTAAAACTTGTCCGTGCTTCACTGCAAACACAAACATGCAAACTTTGCAGCTTCACACAACAAGACCTTCAGAGGGATCAGGGGCCAGTTGAACCTGTTAGGGGCCCTGAGGCAAAAATGAGCTGTGGGCTCCTGATGTGCTGATTATGGCCTGAAACAAGGGGAGGGGCGGGGAGGGGAGGGGAGGGGCGTGAATACTGTGAAACTGGGGCCAATCGAGCTGAGTAACAATTACAGAGGAGAAAGAATTACAGGGGAAATGGATGAAAAGACCAGACAACAGAAGAAATGATGACAGGAGAGAGGAAGAAGAGAAAGAGGACAAAAATAGGAGAGAGACGATTCTAACAAAAACTGACAGATAAACAGGAAGTGATGAGTTGTAATATAAACAACAAGGGACAAAGTTTGAGTCACTGTTGAAGACAAGGAAGAGGAAGATGAGGACGAGGAGGATGAGGAGGATGATGATGAAGATGAGGTCATTTAACAAGAAAAGTCAACACAAGAAGCCTGAAAGAAACTTTGAGTCAGTACAAAAAGAATTTAAATCAGAAACGAATGTTATGTTTCAGAACGACGGCGTCATGTTCACACACTGTGTTTAAAATACACGTGAGGCTGCGTCGTCTTTTACAGTGTTACACTGTAAAACCATCATGATGTCAGGTCTGGAGTCGTATGTTGTGTTACAATACAAATTATTTCTTTTTACATTTCTGTGGAGAAAAGTTTTTAAATAATATGTTCAAATACGTACGATTGAAACTTAATTTACAGAAAAGATTCACAGTTTTAACCACGACATCGTTGTTGGACCTGATTTGCAGGATTTACTCGTAGCCGTCAGACTGGACTTCCTGTTTCTGAGCTTTTGTTCTAACATCACAATGAAGAACCTGACAAACGTCACACGTCCACGTTCTCGCTGCACAACAAACTTCAGCTGAAGTTCACGCACTTTGCATTCAGAACGGAAAATGTACGTCAGAATTATGGAGGAAATAAAATCGGTCATTTAATAAATAACATTCATTAATCATCACTTTCCGTTAAAACTTTATAAGATTCTGACACACGAGAGGTTCTGAAAGACAGAGCAACAACAAACACCTCCCGTTGATCCCAGCATGCACCCCGGTGGAAATGATGTGAGCAGAGTCACTCTGACTCCAACAGAAACAGAGAAACTGTGATTTGAGTCTCACAATATATTGATAAAAATCAGTTTGTTTTATGATTAACATTGTTCGATGATATCATATAAATCAATAAAGTGCCTCTAAAAGAAAATCTCTGGTTCACACTTTTTTAAACAACAAAAGAGAATAAATCTTTTTTTTTTAAAAGCTGTCCTGCAATAAAGTT